AGGACTATTGTTAAATATAAATGACAAGAGTGGGCATGTTCTTGATCTTAGAAGAGAAACTTTCAACTTTTCATCATTGAATGTAATGTTAGCTGTTTGTCATGAATGGCCTTTATTCAGCTAGAAGTCTTACTGGAATTAAAGGCTCAAGATGGCCTAATCCTTGTCCTCCAGATGTTAATCTCATAAAAACCTCCTTAACAGAGGCAGGAGATAAGGGTGGAGAGAGAAAGAGATGCTAATCAATGAACATGAAGTTTCAGGTAGACTGGAAGTGTAAGTTTTAGTGATGAATTGGACTTTGGACTGCATGGTGTTACAGTTCATAATAATGTATTAGGTATTTAATAATTGCTAAAATAGGATTTTAACATGCTCACCACAAAAGAGATCTGCTATATTCATAGTACCTATTAACAATACATATTATGCATTTTAAAATATTAAGAGGGAAGTTCTAATATTAAGTATTTCTATCATACACATACACATACAAACACATACACACACACAAAATGGGGATGTGATACATATGTTTAGTACCTTGGTTAGTGTCACAGGTATATGTATATGTCAAACGCATCAAAATGTATAAGTAAAATATGTGTATTTTCTATATTGTTTATACCTCAATCAAGCTCACAATAAGTTAATGTCTCCTTGTCAAAGGAGGCAGATTCAATATTTTGCAAGTTTATAGATTTTCACACAACCTGCCCATCAATATACTTGAAATATTTAGGGAAATCAGGCTCTACTCTCTCCTTAGTAACTATAATTTATGACTCCTGCTTTTTTTTTTCTAGTCAGAAATACTTAAATAATATAGTAAATGAGTAACTTGGAAATATGGAATGCATTTGACTGACTTATTGAACATTGTTTGTATAACTATATTTCATATAAAAATATGTATCTTAATAAGTACAAATCAAAATGTTGAAGTATGACCTGCTTATTTAGTCCCACAACATTCTGAACTTTTTAGATCACTACTATTTTAAGTGTCTGAATGAATTGATTTTTTATATAACAACTGTTTATTCATCAAATGCTTAACTTGCAATCCAATTTATGTCATCATTATTGAATACTACATACTGTATATTATGCTAAGTCAATCAGGTTAGCATATACAACAACTGTATATACCAACTGTCTAGCTTATAATTATAGAGGAAACAATTTACTCTCAGTATTAAAGACAGATGCTCCTCTAAAGGCTGTACAATCTATACTGTTGTGATTTCACATTGACTTTTCCATCTACGTCCCTCATTGCTCCCTTGTGTTTATTTATACATCACTTTCCTTGAAGAGTTAAAATAATTTCCAAGGGAATTTTGCAGACTTGCACTAGCTTATCAAATTCACTCAGAATATTCACAGTATGTCTCATGATCTCACTCATATATGGACTTTAAAGAAGTTGATCTTGGCCAGCGCCACAGCTCGCTAGGCTAATCCTCTGCCTGCGGCGCCTGTACTCCGGATTCTAGTCCCGGTTGGGGTGCTGATTCTGTCCTGGTTGCCCCTCTTCCAGTCCAGCTCTCTGCTATGGCCCGAGAAGGCAGTGGAAGATGGCCCAAGTGCTTGGGCCCTGCACCCGCATGGGAGACCAGGAGGAAGCACCTGGCTCCTGGCTTAGGATCCGCGCAGTGTGCTGGCTGCAGCGGCCATTTGGGGGGTGAACCAATGAAAGGAAGAGCTTTCTTTCTGTCTCTCTCTCTTTCTCACTAACTCTGCCTGACCAAAAAAAAAAAAAAAAGTTGATATCACAGAAGTTAAAAGAAAAATGGTAGTTACCAGAATATGGGAAAAGTAGGGTGGAAGGAGGGATAGGGTAAGGTGATTAATGGGTACTATATTATGGCTAGTTAAGAGGAAGAAGTTCTATCGCACAGTAGGGTAACTATGGATAATGATAATGCACTATATATATATCTTAAAAACTAGGATAAAATATTTTAATGCTATCATAAAATATTATGAATCTTTGGGGAGACAGGCACATATACCATGATTTAAATATTACACAGAATATACTTGCATCACAATATTACATGGTACCCCCAATATGTGAATCATTTTTATGAATCAGATAAAGGAAAGAATCTTCAAAACTAGATTTAAAGCATATTTTAGAGATTACTTGTTTCAAGTCTTTGTTTTATAAAAGTGAATTTTACTAACATATAGAAAGTCTTAACAATAAGCCTGAGGCCAAACTACTCTGATTCAAATGACATAGTCACATCATCAGTTTCTGATCCCTACTGCTAAGAATCTATCGACAACATGTGAGATACATTTAGTGTATCTGCCAATGAGATGCATATTATTCTGGTTAAAGGTGACACAAAAACTCACTGTTCTGTGGCATTTTTCAAATAAATTTCATTTTTATGTAGTTCATATAAACTCTCTCTTCAAAAAATCACTCAGCTAATTTTAGGAAGGAATGAATAAAAGTGTTCATCAGGATAGGTAAACACATGGGCATTTTATTCTTACTTTATTACATAATTCTTAAGGCCAAGATAATTTTAGCATTGAAAAAATCCTTGATTTACAATATGTACAAATATTAATGTGTTGTCTTTGTGTATTAGTCATGGTTTCTAGAACCACAAGAATCCTATAACATACAATATAAGGAATAGAAGTATGTGAATGATTATAATGTATTTTAATACAGATTAAAAACTTTCCTTCACAGAGGTCTGGAGCCATTATTAAATGACAACCTCACCACCATAATTGATGAATTTTAATTAATTGTTATTTTTCATCTATACCTAGAAGTAATTTTAGTGATGGGTGCAAATTTTCTAATAAATTAATGCAAGAACGTGTTCAAATACAGCACATACATACTCAAAATACCCTGTTTTGTCTTGTTAAAAAGAGATTTTTTTAATCAGTTAAGACCAAGTTAAATGTTTTAAGTTATATACTAAATTGAAAATAGAAAAATAATTTAATAGTGCAGCCTTAAGAAATAAATAATTAGGCTGGGTGTTTGGCCTAGTGGTTAAGACACTGGCTAATACACCCAACATGCCAATTCAAAGTGCACGGGTTCAATTCCCCACTCCAGCTCCTGACTCACTAACCCTCAGAGGTAGAAGTGATAGCTTAAGTATATGGATCCCTGCCATGCACATGTGAGACCTGGTTGAGTCCCTGGCTTCCAACTTCAGCCCTGCCCAGCCTTGGTCATTGAGGGCATTTGGCGAATGAATGAGTAATTGGCAGCTCTCTTTCCTTATCTGTCTCTGTCTACCTTTATCTCCATTTGCATGATTCTGTCTCTTGATCTATCTCTCTACCTCTTGAATAAATAAATAAGAAGTAATACTTCAAAATAATAAAAATTTTAAAAATTATCATGGTATGATTATTATTTTATTTTTATATTTATCTGCATGTTCTCATCAAAAACTTTTGTGACTACAGTGTTTTATATATAATACATAGATCTAATATATTTACACAATTTACATATGCCATATATAATACATATGTGTAATATATTTTTATTATTATGTACCCCTGCTTAAACTTTTTAAATTATGTAATTCACAGAGTTTTAAATATGTGTCATATAATGTTCAACTTATGTTTTTGCTTCATTAATATGCATAAATACTACACAGATTAATTTACAGTGATTGATTTTGAAATTGAAATCGAAAATGCATCATTTCCTTTTAATTTCTCTTTCAAAACTATTTATAAATTTTAAATAAATAGATTTATATAAAGTGAGTGTTTTAAATTATAACTTAAGTATTTCAAAATGGAAGAAGCCTATTAATATTTTAATAGTCACATTTATATATATAAATAAATTTATTGATGGTTTGCCAGTTCCAAGAATTATACTGGGTGTTAACCATACATATAGTGAGATCCCAGTGGAAAGAACAGGTCTTCAAAGAAGGAGGTAGCTTTCTCTGAAGGGAAGAGAGAACTTCCACTTTGACTATGACCTTGTCTAAATAAGATAAGAGTCGGAGAACTCAAAAGGCTTCCGTAGCCTTGGAAACTCATGACTGGAGCATAGGGAGATTACTGATGCCATAGACAGGAGTGTCAATTGGTAAAGTCAACAACAGGAGTCACTGTGCACTTACTCCTCATGTAGGATCTCTGTCCTTACTGTGCTGCACATTGAGATTTCATGCTATAAGGAGTACTCTAACAGTATATTTCACTTTGTGTTTCTATGTGGGTGCAAACTGTTGAATTCTTTACTTAATGTATACTAAACTGATCTTCTGTATATATAGAAAATTGAAAATGAATTGTGATATGAATGGAAGGGGAGAGAGAGCGGGAAAGGGGAGGGTTGCGGGTGGGAGGGAAGTCATGGGGGGGTGGGGGAAGCCAATGTACTCCATAAGCTGTACTTTGGAAATCTATATTCATTAAATAAAAGTTAAAAAAAAACATACATATAAATAAAGGAAAGCTCTTTCACCCTAGTCTTCATGAAATAATCTTGATATTCTAATGGGAATGATTATGACCTTCACTTATAGTAGCATTAAGTTAATAATACTTTTTTTACTTTTGTTTAATGATAAACTAGGTAAATTATTTAAGCTTTTTAAACCCCTTGTTCTTCAACTGAAAAGTAAAATCATAACACTGTCTGCTTTATTGGCTGCTATAAGAATTAAAGGAGCTAATGCTCCATGAAATGTCTGGCATATAGTGTGCAAAAATTCAATAATAATTTTGTTATTTATTTCCAGATCAGCAGGAGAGAAACAGAAGCATAAAAATGAATTAAATGCAAGGATCAGACACTTACATATTTACAATAACATTACAAAAGGCTTTGTTTTCTGTTTGACAAAAAATAAATGCTACCATTAAAATAGGATCAGAGATTATAGGGGGAAAGTGTTGATGAGAAAACAAAGTGTCTATTCCTCTTCCCCCTGGATTTGCTAACAGGATTACCTCTGTCAGAAAATCACCCATGTATTAATGAGTAGCTGTGATCTCTTCTAGTCCTTTCTCAATCCTGAAATCCTGACTGCTAAGGGCGTGGAAACATGGGTGATCATGAAAAGCTCCAAACAGAAGAGTTAGGCAACCTGTAAGGTAAACCCATAATATTTACCTGTTTGGAAGAGTCATGCTGAGATTAGGTGACCTTGGAGAGATCCTGACATCATTTACAGAAACTGACAAGTAATTCTTTGTAAAGTACTAAGGGAGGGTAGAGGAGGGAGATTAACCAATATTTCTGGGCGAAAGTGTCAACATAGGGCTGGTGACTTGTTTTAAAGGATTATTTATCCCAGAGATTACTTAATAAATGAGTTTCGTTTGTAATTTTATAAAATGCAGTATATCTGTATGCACTACATGTATGCATTTATATAGTTCACTCACTACAATCTATAAAATGAATAAGCATATCATTCTATTGTAATATTTTAAAACTTAAATGCTAAAATAGTAATGTTAAAAAATCCATAGTATTTTCTGCTTAAATTTTACTTTACACATGTACTTGTACTCACTATTTACACTTATACAGTTATATTCTCTTATTTGATTTATGTATTTCATATTTTATGGAGATAAAATGCACTTATTTTCAAAGTTTTAAGCTTCTTAATAAAGAAGCAGAAAATTTCTGACATGCATGTATTTTTTGGATAATGATTGTCAATACTTATGATAGGGTGCTCAAATTGGACTTTCAATTCTAACCCCCAAAGGAATTTGCCTTACTAAAGTTTAGCTTTATATTAATGTCCACTTGTGTTAATTTATGTCTATTTTCAAAAACACTGACACATCACAGAATCCTTTACTACTATATAGTATATTTTTCTGGCTTTTTTTTCTAAAATTAAAGTAAATGTGCATTTAAATTATGCAGAATAGAGAACAAAATGCCAACTAGTCAAACATCTCCTTATACCCACTTAGAATTTGATCATTACCACTATATACCAGAAAAATATAGAAACGCCCTTAAGAATTTCACAACTTTTAAAATTCCACAGTTAATGTAGATAAGAAATTGCATATACATCTAGAACCATATGAAACAAACAGAGCTCTTGAGAAGTAAAACGCTTGCTTGCTTTTCAACCTATAGTCGTTTTTTTCCAGTATGATCTATGAATATCCAATGATAAAGGTACTAAGTAATAGCACATACACTAAGGAAAATGAGAAAATTTTCAGGTGGAGGGAGTAAGAAATATTCCAGTTTTGGACATGTTGTATTTGTCCTGTAAGATACAACCCTTTTGATTTCATATCTCATTAATATATACCTAGAGTAACTCTTATACATTCCAGGATATGATAGATATGGTCTAATGCTACATCAATTTTAACAGAGTGTTGTGTTCTTTCTTACATTAAATACTTCAGTGGAATCCACACCAGCCACTGTTGGTCCTATAGAATATAGTCTTTTTAATAAAATTATATGAAATAGAATGTGCTACATTTACTACTAGTGATTTACATAAACTAAAAGCATCGCTGAACAGTCTGTACATTTTTCATTGACTCATCAGCCTGTGAGTCATTACTCTTACAAAGTAAGCAAATAGTACAGGATTTTGTTGTTTTTTCATGGTAGGAAAGAATGGAGCTTTTCATCTTGTAGTGTTTTGTTTGGGTTTCTTTGGATATATGGTACTCCAAGCATGGATTCATATCCATTCACAAACATCTATTAAGAAAAATGTATCATGTTTCAGTGTAAAATGTATTTCCTACTGTGATTTGAAAAGGAAGTAGACAAATCAAGAAACAAGATAATGGGATAAGGGAGCTGATTAAATTGATTAAACCAGACCAAGAGACAAAACCGCTACAGTCAAAGGCAATTACATGATATGGTTGATAACCAATTAAAATCATGATCATGTTCTTCTTGAAACTTCTATTCCAGGAGATTCCAATGTGGAACAATTCAACCCTTATTGGAAAAGATATGGATTTTGTCCTGTTACCAACAGGTAAACTAATCTCATTATTCTCATATTTTAAAACTAAGTAACATAATAAGACAGGCACTAAAGGCAATGTCAGATATGATCACTTTATATTCCTGTTACTCAATGAATACTGAGGAGATCCAAGATGGCTGAAAGTGAGACACCAGACTGACTTCAGCCACAATAGGATTCAAAAGAATAAAAGGGAAGGACCATGTTTCCAGGGGACTGCCTGTCAGAAATTTTCAGTGGAAAAGTGACAGAGCAGAACAAAATCTCCATAGAACAGTGAGGAAAGACGGTGGAGGCACTGTTTAGGCCAGCTGCATGGCACACCTGCTGCCAGCTGGGAGCTGCAATCCTCCCAGGTCAAGGTAGGAAGAAGGTGCTGTATGCCATGCCAGTAACAGCTTTAGCTGAGGCTGCAACCAGGGGAGTTGAGTGGTATCTGAGTGACTTCTTGGCTTTGGGAAGAGAAACCACATTGCCTCTCTCACCTCTGCAAATTGTGAAAATCAGTTGATTGTAAAAGCCATGCAGGAGATCTCTGTTCCACTACTACCAGAAGCCATCACATTCAGCATTAGGGCAACTTTTGGAGCAGAAAACTTACCACCTGCAGCCTGCAACTGTGGGAGTTCTAGGCATAAACCCCAGAACTGTAATCACTCACTCTATGTGATGCAGAGAGTTCCTCTCAGCTTTTTGGGACTAGCACCAGTAACAGCCCATAAAAAATCTGGACCCAACCTGAGGAAGTTCCTTCCAAACCTCCTTGCACACGGCATGGGAAGCCCTGGGAACAAACCCAGCAACACCCTCGCATGCCTAGTGAAAACTGGGGGCAGTTTCATCTGTGCATTGCAGAACTGGGACAGTTGATGCTGGTATTATAATCTTTAGAGAGATTCCTACTAACTCAAAGTATGTGGAGTGCTTTATCTAAATCACTTTGCTTCAGACAGGTGGCTACCACTATCTACAACACCTGGTTCTGACTCTGGGAGATCCGGGTAATAAACCTGCAGTACCCTGCAACACCAAGACTTTAAAAATCAGTACTAATTTCCAAAAACATGCTGTAATGTACTCAGTGGACCTAGGGAAGGACCAGCCTGCACCCCACTTCTCCGGATACATACTTTCCAGTGTAAATCTCCTGTACACTGTGTAGTCACCCTGTAGGACTGCATCAGGGTTCGGGTCACATCCCTTTTTGTGTTATATGCCTCAGCACCAGTTGCACTCTCCTGGAGAGACCTGAGAAGGTCTCATCCACATCACATAGTCCTACGACCATAGCTATGGATGTCACAAGCCCCAGAATCACTCAGGCTTGTCAACGGGACCAAAGGATGCCCCTGTTTACTCCATCAGCAATAGGAACAAGGAACTGGCAGTCACAATCCCCAGTGTGACTGAAGATACACACTAGGAGGTTCACATTCCCCTCGAAATCGTACTTCCACCTCTAGTAGACTAGACCACGCTGTCACTTAAACACAGCTGACACTGATTAAAGCAAAATAAATCAGTTAGAGGCTTCTAGACTCACCTAGAACCAAAGCTAAGGAACAAGCAAACTCTCTTCTCCAACAAACCCTACTAAATAAAGAGTCAGGGATGATTATACCAGATATACAGATGCCAACATGGGCACACAGGATATATGAAGAAAAGCAGCATGAAACCACCAAAAGAACACAACAGTTCTCTAGAATTGGAACCTGATCTGAAGGAAACCTATTAAGTATCATAAATAGAATTCACAATAATGAGTGTAAAGAAACGCAACGTGATGCAAAAGAATACAGACAGCTTAAAGAAATGAGGAAATCAATGAGTGACAGGAATGAAAAATTTACTAAGGAGTTACAGATCACTAAGAAGAATCAAATAGAAATTATATTTCCAATTATATTTCCAATCAGTGAAATAAAAAGCACAACTGAGAGGTTTACAGCAGAATAAATCAAATGGAGGAAAATAATTATGATCTAGAAGATAAGACTTCTGAAATAATCCAATGAGACAAAAATAAAGAGAAAGGAATTTAAAAGAATGAAAAAGTCAATGCAAAATAAGAGATACCATTAAGTGATCGAATTTCATATTATTATTTTTTTAACTTTTATTTAGTAAATATAAATTTCCAAAGTACAGTTTGAGGATTACAATGGCTTTTACCCCCCCTAACTTCCCTCCCACCCGCAACCCTCCCATCTCCCGCTCCCTCTCCCATTCCATTCACATCAAGATTCATTTTCAATTCTCTTTATATACAGAAGTTCAATTTAGTATATATTAAGTAAAGATTTCATCTGTTTGCCCCCACACAGAACACAAAGTGAAAAATACTGTTTGAGCACTAGTCATAGCATTAACTCACATTGAACTACACATTAAGGACAGAGATCGTACATGAGGAGTAAGTGCACAGTGACTCCTGTTGTTGACTTAACAAATTGACACACTTGTTTAAGACGTCAGCAATCAACCCAGGCTCTAGTCATGAGTTGCCAAGGCCATGGAAGCCTCCTGAGCTCGCTGACTTTGATCTTATTTCGACAGGGTCATAGTCAAAGTGGAAGTTCTCTCCTCCCTTCAGAGAAAGCTACCTCCTTCTTTGATGGCCCATTCTTTTCACTGGGATCTCACTCGAAGAGATCTTTCATTTAGTTCTTTTCTTCTTCTTCTTTTTTTTTTTTTTTAAAGACAGAGTGTTTTGGCTTTCCATGCCTAAAATACTCTCATGGGCTCTTCAGCCATATCAGAATGCCTTAAGGGCTGATTCTGAGACCAGAGTGCTGTTTAGGACATCTGCCATTCTATGAGTCTGCTTTGTATCCCACTTCCCATGTTTGATAGTTCTCTCCTTTTTTTATTCTATCAGTTAGTATTAGCAGACACTAGTCTTGTTTATGTGATCCCTTTCACTCTTAGACCTATCATTATGATCTACCGTGACCTGAAATTGATCACTTGGACTAGTGAGATGGCACTGATACATGCCACCTTGATGGAATATATTGGAATCCCCTGGCACATTTCTAACTCAAAATTTTGGGGCAAGTCAGGTTGAGCATGTTCCAAATTATACATCTCCTCCGTCTCTTATTCCCACTCTTATATTTAACAGAGTTCACTTTGCAGTTAACTTTAAACACCTAAGAATAATTGTGTGCTAATTACAGAGTTCAACCAATAGTATTAAGTAGAACAAAAAAAAAATACTAAAAGGGATAAAGTATTAAATTGTGAATGAAGGTGAAATACGAATTTCATAATATTATTATAAGGAAAAGAGAAGGGAAAAGGCATGGAGAATCTTTTAAATTAAATAATAGTTTGAAATTTCCCAAGTATTTAAAGCTATAGAAATTCAGATATAGAAAGCTGAAAAGGACCTCAAGCACACTCAGCCAAAAAAGATCTTCTCCAAGCTATACTATAGTCAAATTGTCAAAATTTAAGGAAAAGGCAACAATTCTAAATAAAGTAAAAGAAAAGTGTCAAGATACATATACAGGAAAACCAATTAGAATGACAGCAGACTTCTCAGCAGAAGCCCTGTAAGCAAGAAGAGAGTGGAATGACACATTCAAAAACTTAAAAGAAAAATCAACCAAAACATTATATCTAGCAAAGCTATACTTTAGAAGCTTAGGAGAAATAATATATACCCTGGATAAGCAAAAACGGAAAGAACTGACCACCAAACCAGCCCTACAAGAAATTCTGAAGGGTGCATTGGCAGTAAACATTATGAAAACCTGTGACACTATCAAATTCACTAACAGAACAGGTATAATTAGTAACCAATCAACAAAAGGACAGGTCCAGTAATTGTCAGTACTAATACTGAATGTAAATGGATTAAATTCCTCAGCCAAAATATTTAGGTAAGCTGACTGGATAAAATAGCAAGACCCCTCTATATGATATCTTTAAGAAACTCACTTCACAAATAAAGATAGACACATATTGAAAGTGAAGGACTACAGAATGATATGCCAGGAAATGTAAATGAAAAATGACCAGACACAGATATATTCACATCAGATAAAGCAGATTTCAATTAAAAAAAACTGTAAACAGAGACAAAGAAGGACATTATATTTTGATAGGATATAATGATCATAAATATATATATCCAATAAAATATTACTCAGATATATACAGCAAATATTAATAGACCTAAGGGGAGAGATAGACTCCAAGCAATAATAGTGGCTGACTTTAATTCCACACTCTCATCATCGGATAGAAAATCAACAAAGATACATTAGAGTTGTACCACAGAATTGGGCAAATGGACTTAACAGATACCAACAGATAATTTCATCCAAGATCTATAGAATATGATATTGTTCTCATTAGCACATGGAAAATTCTCTAGGCTATACCATATTTTTATTTTTTTTAAATTATATAAGGTGAACAAATTTCATGTATTTCATATACAGAGATTTAGGAGCATAGTGATACTTCCCAGAAAGTCCTCCCTCCTACCCATATTCCCACACTCCCTCCTTGTTCGTTCTTATTCTTTAATTTTTACATTTAAATACTTTCAGTTTATTTTATAATCATATATTATGCCACAAATAAAGTCTCAGTTTTAAAAGACTGAAATCACACCATATATCTTCTCAGACCACAAAGAAACAAAACTAGAAATCAACAAGAACAAGAAAACATTCACAAACACATGGAAATAAAAAACATGCTACTGAATGGCCAATGGAGACATTAGAAAAGAAATCAACAACTTCCTTGAAATAAAGGAAAATGGGGATTGGCACTGTGGCATAGCAGGTAAGGCCACCGCCTGTAGTGCCAGCATCGCATATGGGTGCCTGTTCAACTCCCAGCTGCTCCACTTCTGATCCAGTTCTCTGCTGTGGCCAATGGAAGCAGTAAAGGATGGTCCAAGTCCTTGGACCCTGCACCCACATGGGAGACCCAGAACAAACTCCTGGCTCCTGGCTTTGGATTGGCACAGCTCTAGTTGTTGGGAC